CCTCCTCTCTCCCCACATCTCCAGAGCAGGAGTCAGGCAAGCAGCAGTATTTGCTCTGCCTCCATGCTACGGCTGTCCTGCCCAGCTGCCCGGTTTGCATATGCTGACTGCCCAGCTGCCACGCTCACACAGCGTCATTTCCCTTGCAAAGGGCAAATGTTTCAGTCTTCCTTGCCCCTGTCCACACTAAACTTGTAGTAACTTTCATTTTTTGAAGAGCTCTGCTTTCCCACAGAGTTTGGTTGAAATTGGTCAAAGGGTTAAATAAATTGTTAAAAGGGGGTCTGAGAGACAGCCAGACAATGTCATTACAGTAGTCTGAAGAAACCACTTTGGCAATGCTGCATCACCTCGGTGGGGTGCCAAGTCATTCTCTCTCTTCCTTTGGCTCAGGGAATATTTTATTATTCCATTCATATTGTAACAGCTTCCTCTGAAAGCCACCGCTCTTGCTCGCGTCTGTGAAATGGAGGGAGCTTTGCTCCTGAACATACTTCTGAATGTGGGGCATTTTCTGAAATAGGCAGCGGTTGCCCAGGAGTTTCAGAGACGTGATGTTGGATTTAAACACCAATGGTGTGAATGAAGAGTCTAATATTTTGTGACCTTCTCATTATATTCACGTGCAGGCCAAGCATTTGAAAGAAGCTGGATGCAAAATAAAACCTGGAAAATTCTCACCTGTGCAAACCATTGCTTGACTCGCAGCGCAGCAGAGTCAGCGCAGCGGGACAGACACCACGGGTTGGGAGACCTAAGAGCAGCAGCAGACTACAGAGAATTATTAATAATAATTCACATAACCTGAAACCAGGTATTTGTTTAATTAAACAATGTAGCATTGCACCTGGCTGTGTACATCTACCTTCATTCCTACTCAGTATATCCATTTTAAATTTGCCACAGCTGCAATTTCTTTCAGGTCTGCAAACTAAACCAGAAATGAAACATCTGAATTTGTTAATGCAATCTTGAAAGACTTTTAATGGTAACTTTAGTAGTAAATAAATTACTTTGCTTTGTATTACTCTGATTGTAGGATTGTTTACTTATCAAACACTAACCAACTTTGATATTCAATATTTATTTATTAATACTTAAAATTTCCATTTGTGCTTCAGTATAATAATTAATTTTTCTCCCTCCTTTGCTAAATAAATTGTTTGCAATGCCTCTATTACAGCTTAACAATCAGGCCACACATTTTTCATCTGATGTTTGGAATATAGAGATAAAACTGAGGTGAGAATCACCTATTTAAATCCTAGTTCACAATCTTTATTTATACTAGCCATCCCAAGGAAATCTGCAGATTTGTTGGCTGATAATCCCCTCTTTTCACCTACCTTTTCCACTGATTTGCTACCTCTCAGGAAACTTTACAGAGTGCTTTTCCAGAGGTGCATCATATTCAGGTCCTCTGATGTGGAAGCAGAGACGGATTCTGGTTCATGCTCAACTATCACTGTCCAAAGAGACAGAAGTACATGTGAATTGTGTTTCTGTGGGAGGAGAAATATGTTAACATGCTATTTGCTGTACTATGTTCCCACAGCCTTTTTCTTGGAAACAGGAACAAAAACCCGGCAAACCCATAGACCTAGACAAGTTCAGCGTGGGACACTGTGATTAAGCTCTGGAGCTGGCAAGTCTATTTTCAGTGCCAAAGCGTGCCATGCAAAAACTGTAGCATTTTGCGGAGACATCTTCCCTTGCCCCAGGGAGCCAATTCGGGCAGCCCAGCCCGCTGCGAGGGCTCTCCAGCAGATCCATTCTGCAAGAGAGAATAATTTCAACCATCTCCCCAGCTCGTCAGGTGGAGAATAAACTGTCTGCCTTAGTCTGTTTACTCAGCTGAGGTGGATAGTTTGGAAAAGCGCTAGCTTGCTTTCTCCCCTGATGTTTGAAACGGTCAAAACTCCACCGAAGGCAGATAGCTGCACACATGGAGCTATGAGGAGGAAGAGGTGCATGCACCCAGGAAAGGAAGGCTGAGACAGGAGGTTTGGCAGGCAGGAGGAGGTTTAGGTACCTCTCTGAGGGGTTATGCACCTTTAGAGTGATGTAGCACACTGGGGCACATACAGAGGTGAGGTGAGGACCAGCTCCGACAGAAAACGTGCTGTGAAATGGTGGGGTAGTGAGCTGCCAGAGTTCACACGAAGCCAGTGTAGAAACTGATCCTGAACTTTCTCCTAAACCCAGCTTGAATGCTGTCATCGCTGGGCCTCTCTCCCCAGCCTTGTCAAGGGTGTAGGCGTCTTTCTTTCCTAATCAACAGCAATTGCATTTTACTAAGTATGGGAACTACGTTCTGGGAGCTGAATTTTATGATCTGAAGTTTCTCTTCCTTTCTTTTTTATTCAAACTGAGCATCACACTACTTTCGGTTACATTTTACCTCTGTGTTAGAAATGCTGAAAGAGAAGAATTTTTTCTTAGAATATGTAAGGAAAAAAAAAAGTTCTGGAAATATTTCTGGCTTTCTATATTAAGTGTCCTTGAGATATCATGAAAAAACCAGCAAGGCTATGAACATGGTTTGTCCCAAACGCACATTCATGCCCAAGACAAACATAATACACCCATGACAGAAGGAGCTGGGACAGCCAATACTCTCCAATCTATTTTTTATATCAGTGCAGATTTCTTTGGTGTTTAATCTTTCTCTTTGCTCCTCCACCGACTCTGTTGGGAGTCTGGAGGGCTTACAGGTTTGGGACAACACTTGCAAGGGATGCCAGGGTGTCTTCAGCAAAATAGGTTGTGTCTACCCAAGCCAGCAACACTGCTGTGTTTAATTCAGCATTTCTCAGATTTGTCAATCCGTTCAGATCTCCCGTCTAAAGGAAAAAAAGAAGAAAATTGTGCTTTCCCTTCTCCCTTGTGCACATGCATGTAAAAGTAAAATAATTTATTGGTGGAAAGAGCAATACACTGAAAAATGTTATCAGGATTATGTTTCAAGGACTGCTCTTTAATACTGAAAAGTGAGAATATGTAAGTAGTGGTAAAAGAGATGGTCTTTTTTTAAAATATTGTAATAAAACTTGGGAAGTCTGTTTTAAGCCAATGCAGGCCCCGAGAGACACCGCACGATCCTGACTGGCTTTCCGTCACCTCACCTCAGAGAAGAACCTTTATTTGAGCCTTATCAAGGAAGAACAATTTATGTGTAAATAGACGAGTGTTTTTGAAGAAAGAAGTGCCTCTGCCGTGTCTGCGGCTAAACTGTGGACCCTGAAAACGACGCTTACGAGGAAAAAAAAGGTGTTTTTTTTTTCTCTTTTGTACTTTTGCCGTCAGAGCCAGCTGAACTGCGGCGCTCGCTCCGCGCCGTCCCTGAGGGGATCTCTC